GCCACGTGCTGCGGCTGCGCCATATGCTGCGCCACGTCTACTGCGCCACACGAATAAGCTAATTGGTTACAATATAAAGACTTTATAAATAAAAATATAATAATAAAAAAAATATATTATTAAATAATCTTTAATAAAATCTATAAACTAATGCATTTTTATAAAAAATATCTTAGAAATTTATTATATAGTTAGATTTTTTCTGTAGATATTTTAATTAGAAACTAATAATAAATAGAGTGAATTTTTAATATTAGAAAAGTATTTCTATTTCATATATAATCATGATAAAAAAAAGTATCAAATCATATAATTTTTTAAGAAATAAATTAATTAAATCACAAAATTATAAATATAATAATAATAATTATTAATTATAATTAAGATTAAATTATAATTAGAATTATATTTCACATGATATTATAATAATATAATATTATAAAGCATCACTATAAATATTATAAAGCAAAATTTTGCAAGAAATAAAAATATTTTTTGTTAAAATAAAAAAAGTGATTTTATAGATAAATTTTGAAATACAAATCATTTTTCAAAATAAATATTTGTTTTGAATTTTTTTCATTATATATTGATCTTGTGATTTGATTAATTTATTTCTTAAAAACAAATAATCTAATATTTTTTTTTGTCATGACTAGAGTATTAATTTCTTAATATACTATACAATATATATATCAAGAATTTCAGTAATAATATAATATTTGATATCTTTAGAGTATCTGCATTATATATTAAAATTACTATTGCAAATAGAGATTACTTATTCAATTTTTCTAAAACTTTTAGATCTAAAGAAAAAAGAATTGCTTATTTTAGAGGATTGCTTATTATCAGAACTTTATGATATTTATTTTCTAGTATATCAAGATATTAATAATAATAAATTAAGTAAAACATATTATTTACAAGCTTTATCACACTAAATAAAATAAATATTAATAGATCTAAATCAAAAAACTGAAAAACTAATATATAATATAGATTAAGATACTAATAATAAAGATGAATTACAAATAATAAATAATAGATGGTTTGCTAATAGAAGTGAGTAAGATTTGAATAAAATATTGAGTTTATGGGAATTGATGTGATAATTATGCAAAATGAATTCTTGATAAATTGTTAACAAATTAGATAAATCTTCATACATTAATAAATTATAAAAATAAATGACATTATTAGAATGAACTGAAACTATTCTAGTCGATTAACAAATTTATTGTCCAATGACAATAAGCTGCGCCATTGGACTGGATCTATTCCAAGTTCCAGTTCACTGATCCGTTAAGATTGGACTAAGTCAAATGACAACACTGGCAATACTTATATTTATTAGTAAAATTCATAAATTATCTAAATATTTTTTAGGGTAATATATTTTTAAACTAATAAATATCTTGATTATATAACACATTACGGAAAGTATCGACATAACAACTATCTAATTGGAATAATAAAAATTGTGCATGATCATAACTGAAATCTGTATTTTATTAGTGAATAACATACATGGGATATGATTTTCATGTTGAAAAACACAGAGATTAAAGCTGACGAAATTTAAGCAATACAAAGAAAAAAGAACTAGTTTAGCGAGGCTTAAGTTCTCGTTTGAAAAACAACGTTATTCAAACAAACAAACCAAAAGAGAACAATTGTCACTGGATCAAAAAATTCTTTTTTATTTATTATTTTATTATCAGAGATGAACTTATTATAGCTCAAAATGATAAAATTACCATGTTGTTAATCGAATGCGAATATTCTGACAGGATCATCTTTTGTTCATTCAGAATCTTCGGTCTTCTTTTTTTTCTTCTTTTCGGGAGATTTTTCTGCGTCAGATTTAGATTTAGATTTTTTCTTGGATGACTGTATTTTTTGGATATTTACGTGTAAATGTGTAAATATTTATGGGCAGAAAAAAGTTCAATCATATAGTTAGTAAAATTAAAAAATTAATACTTAAGAGAACAAACCGCTAAACCAAAAAAAAAAATGGAAAGTATCAAAAAAATACACTCTCAGATTTCTCTTTCTCTTTTTCCTTTTCCTTTTTGGCCTTCTTTCGGGCCTTTTTCTCAGCTGCATCATCATCATCCGGTTTCGTCGTCATCGTTGTAACAGCAGTTATAAAAGTCGCGCCCTGCTCTTCTTCCTTTTTAATTGATGGTTCCTTTTTGATGCTTTTTTTCGATTTCTTTTTAGTATGTTTGATGCTTTCATCAGTAGTTTCTTCTAGTAGTCCTGTTGATTCCGGTGGTTCTTTTCTCTATATATTTTAAATTAATAAATATTTTAACAGTCAGCCAAAACTTTAGTGATTAATTGATCGTGGTAATAATAACAGTAAAATAGTGATAATATTAATATATAATAACAACCTTTTTAGGCGTAATACCGATCGTCGCAGAAGGAAGTTCAATCTCAATATGTTGCTCACTCTTTATTTCTTGTATAAGGGGCGTTGATGCTGATTCTGTTTGTGGTTGTTTTGTTTCCTGCTGATTATTGTTATTTTTCTCACTGTAATCAATGTAGGAATTTTTCCAGTCTTCGGGCGTCGCTTCATTTACGCGTCCATATTTATCTAGTTTCCCCAATTTGACCAAGTTCTTTTTTTGCTTGGCCTATTTGATGGTTTCGGGAATAAAATTTTAAAGTATTGATTGACATGTTAATTTATCTATAATTAGAGAGTTACCTTGGGTCCTAGACCCCATCGCTTTGGATATGTATCACGTTCCATAATAACTCTCTTAACTTTAGCAACAACACCTATTTCAAAAAATTCCTATAAACATCTTTTATCGCTTACTTTTACTAAATACAAATCAAAATCAAAAGATAACCACAAACCATGATCACAAGTAGCCATCACCGCAGTCGTCATCATAGCAATCGCAAGCGCAATAGCTTCACCCTTAGTCGTCATTATCACGACTTCTTCATTGACTTCAATATTTGATTCGTATCGAAGTAGACCGGGTATCATGAATTTTGCGCCGTAACAAATCGCATTCACAGCACTATCTTTGGCAACTAGTCGCTTATATGAGGTAAGTAGTGTTTCTAGAGGAAGGATAACTCGGCGAAGATAGGAATCTATTATTAATTAATACATTAAACAAACATCGTTTAAAACTTGAAATCATTTAGTAGATAAAACAATGCTAGAATAAATAGCTTAATAATTACCATCTCTGGTATTATCATATGTCCATTGAGCATCCAACACATCATGCATTGTCACCATGTTATCCTAACAAATAAATCACAGATATGCCGCGGTAAAGAAATCTTAAAATAAAAAACGTCTTAACCAAGAAAACAGCAATACATACATTTTCAGACATCGCGCCAGACCGCACGCGTCTCAATTCCTGCATGTGCCCACCGACACCGAGCAAAAGACCAAGATGTACACACAATGTACGAATATAAGTGCCAGCTTCACAACTAACCCAGAACGCACCCAAATGATGATCATCATCATATTCAATTAATTTCGCCTCGTGAATTGTACGAATGCGAAGTTGCCGTTTTACGGCAGATATTAGTGGTGGGCGTTGAAATAGTGCGCCGGTGAGTGTTTCAAGTGCTTTTACGAGTTTCAGGCCGGATTCGATGGATTTGTGGAGTCGCACTACACAGACGTATTCTTTTCCTAATATTATATTCATAATGTATAGATCGATTAAATAATCGATTTAATCATATATATTAAGTAATTGAAACAATTATATATAAAAATGAGTTATAAAAGATACACTTAAAGCCAATACCTGCACTCTGCTGTGACTTTACTAAACGCGTTGCACGATCTATACACACTATCAAACAACCAGTAACCTTTGGATCAAGTGTTCCACTATGTCCAGTTTTTTCTACTCGAAGGATGCGGCGAACCCAAGCTACCACTTCGTGTGATGATGGATTTGCAGGTTTATCCAAATTTATTACACCATATCTTATATTAGGATAAAATTCGATGTTAATAACAATCAATATTAAATAAGGGCTGCCGTGATATTTTAGCATTATAGGCAATAATGACAGCGATAAGTATTATTTAAAATCCATGCCTAATGTATTCTGTCAGATCACGCTTAAGAGGTGAACAGCCCATCGGTATGGGTGTATAATGTCCCGTTCTGACATTTAGTTTATCGTAATTCTATCAAATTAAATAATTTAAGTGGCAAGTTTATAAATTTTGTAATCAACAATAAAACAAACAGTTCAAATTTCTCACTTTTAAAAGTAAAGGCCACTTTGATGTATCTATTTGTGGTGTCTTCTTTTCTGGTTTTATCACGTATTCTGCCTCCATTTTTAAATAATCGCTCGAACAGAAAAATTTTATTGATCTATTTATATCATTCCAAAATCTACAACTGTAAATCGTATGATTATTTAACCAGCATTACCGGGATTAAAGATAATTTCATTTAGTTCTGAATTTTAATTGGTATTCTAGTTACAGCACAGACCATGTGATATTATAAATATATAGAAAAATTTTATAAGAAATATTTTTGTAGACTACTGAAAATAGTTTCATAGATAAAATTTTCAAGATATGACTATTTGAGTGAGATTGAGAGACTTATCAGTGGGTCTCATTACAGATATAACAAATTATTCTCTCAGAACTAGCTTAATAAGCTAATTTTCTTTACATAACATTAAAATAATAATATAAAGAGTAGCTAGAGCAGTAATAGCAATATGAAGAATAAACAGAATAATTATAATAATAATAATAATAAATATATAAATAGTAATAATAATAAATAGAAAAAATAAAAGAGTTAAAATCTGATAAAAAATCTTATTTAAATTACTTAGTTTATATAAATTAAATTATAAAAAATTATTTGAAAAGTAAAATTAAATAATTATAAAAAAAATTTTTTAATAATTAAATTTTTTTATAATTATATTATTAAAATACAAAAAATTATAATTTAATTATATAAAAGATAATTATAAAAAAATTTAATTATATAATTATTTAATAACTGAAAAATTTAAAAAAAATAATAAAAAATAATTATAAAAAGAAAAAATTATAAAAAATATATTTATAAAGAAATTTAATTATATAAATTATCCTAATATAATATAATAAATAAAATAAAATAAAATAAATATAAAGTAAACTTATAATGATAATCAAAAGTAATGACTTAAGAACTAAATTTATTAATAAAATATAATAAAAATTAAAATTTTCTCTTTATATTAAAATTTATAATTTTATTAAGAAAGAATTTTTTTCAGATTTTTTAAATTTTTTCTGAAAGAGTTGCTCTAATTATAAAATTAATGCAAAAATTTTTACTAATTAAAAATGAAATTTAATTAAT